ATGAGTGATGACAGAATTAGGTTATGGTAAACCGTAACCAACGCGAGACGATAACACGGAGCACGATAATATTCATATCTTAAATGTCTGCCAAACAAACGATGATTGAAGATCTAGATATCAATCATTTTATATATAGCTCGATTAAATTGAATGCAGAAAATTAATTCCGATTCTGTTCATTTACCACTTAACAAGTCGGTAATCTCTAAATCTATATCATTTTTTTATTGCAAACACCTCTAGCTGTACTTTATAAGACATGTAATTTTTTCTTTTGCAGCTGGTAACACTGGTTACGGGACACCTAGCGGCCAAAATCAGGACTAATGTGCTTGTCGCCAGGGATACGATGTAACTTTTTTTTACAACTCGAAAGTATATTATTTTTAATGTTGTTATTCATACATTCATCTAATATGTATGAAATGCACCAGTAAGTGATGTTAAAAACAAAGATCTTACGAGGCTAGTGAAGTGACGTGTCGCTTCTCCGGGTTGGTATAAGATAATGACGTCTAGGGGATACGGTTCACATTTCTAAGCAGCATTAAATCTAGTGAAAACGGCCTTTAAAGGTAGGTGGCATTCTCTTATCTGATATAAATACGCCGAGATAAATTCACAGGCGTGTCTGATAGGAGGGAGTTCACGAACTATTCGGAATTAGAGACAAGTTGCGTTATTTGAAATGATCGGAAGTCACCGGACTTTTAGGCTGCCCTATATAACTTCGTGCTCCTTCCACTTATATTGATGAACATACTGCAAGGGAAATTAATTAACGGGCCGCAGAATTTTAGATAGAATACACAGTATACTAACTGACTTGTAATTACCTACAAAAGACCTGTCACCTTCTCTTACAGATAGGTATTACTCTGGCAAACTAATACTTATCTGGCACAGGATTGGTGATAATGGAAAGGTTAATAAGGTGTGTTATTGGTGTCTTTAGTACAGTGGCACCGTCCCTCAAGCACCTGGCTGGGATGCTATCAATACCTGTGCTCTTGTAGTGTTCCAGTTTAACTCTTTTAGAACAATGTCCTCTGTCACCGCGTGCATTTCAATACTATCTGGAGTGATACTTCTCTTTCTGCAGTGGAATTTAAAGACTTCTTATCCCACACCGTAATTATTTGAGGTCACCGGCATTTATATTTTTCTATTTCAATTGAAGATGAGACAACTGTTGTGTAAACTAAATTAAAGTGGTTTGCAACTTCTGACGTAGCGTGACAGAGCTCATCATTCATGTTTAATACTGCGTTGGATCCTTCTTTTGGTTTGTTACTGTGATTGTTTGGGGATTCCTGGCCACTTCGCCTTCCGGCCGCGTTGCTGTGTTAAGGGTTTTTAGTTGCGTCCCACAACTTGAGGGGAGTATTTTTATATTCCTTCATACAATTGCTCAAATATTTAAGGTTTACTCAGTTTGTAAGTCTATCTCTTAAAGTTTATATTATTTCAGTTACTTTTATATTTTTTATGTTATTCTCTGTATATTTTAAAGCTAATTATTTGACATTTTATCTTTAACTATATTTATCGATATTATTTACTTTGATATACTTCTCTATACCTAAACTGGAGCTACTGTGGTATGCGGTCTACCGAGCTGGAGTTGTGTCTACCGGGATATTTACACTGTATTTACACCCAACCTAAACTAGGTTAGGTTACGATAGGTTAGGTTAATATATATTTGATTAAGTTAGTTTTGGTGCAAATATCCCGGTAGACCAGCTCGGTAGACCGCATACTATAGTAGCTCCAGCTCGGTAGACCGCATACTATAGTAGCTCCAGCTCGGTAGACCGCATACTATAGTAGCTCCAGCTCGGTAGACCGCATACTATAGTAGCACCCTTAAACTTTACCATTAAAACATTATTTTAAGCTACGCCACCTAAACATAATCTATGTTATCATAAAATATAGCTTGTGAATATGCCCCGCTCTAACTTTATCTTCATTATACTGTAGTACACTAGCTTTCAGAGTGATCCTACGGAGCAGAATTTTCGTGTTATCCCTTTAACGGTAAAATATTTACGTTTTCTTTAACATACAAATATTTTTGTTTTCTTTGACTGACTCAAGATTTAGTGGACAACTCTCCCAAACTGCATCTAATATTGAACCTATATTGCGAGGGACAGGATGACTAATGGTGATGGTGAGGCAAGATGGCTGAGTGGGACTGGGAAGACAAAATTATTACATGGGGTTGCGGAACAACTGGGTAGGATTGAGAAGACATAGTAGTTAGGGCAGGATCGTTCGGTGACCGGATAAAACCCCAACGGACAAAACCCCAGTCTCATAAATAAAATATAAAATAAAACACTTTTATGTTTTGTCCATTGGGGTTTTGTCATGGAACCCGCTCGTTCTTGTCACGTTCGTTGCTTCTACCCAAAACAAGATTTACATTATTAATATAGCTTAATGGATTTCATGGTACATTGATGTGTCTAGTATGCCATGACAACCACCTACCCCAATCCTACCCCCGTCTCCAGCAGTTGCCATGGAGAGCAGGCGTACCTACAACAACTGTCCTCTTGTTTAACCTTAATACTGTACAACCCATGTTGTATTGCTTCCCCATTATATTTGTTTTGTTTTTTTAATTCCACTGTAATTTATGTATATACCTCTAATATAAATTAAAACAAAAATTAAAATAAATAAATAAAATAAAAATTGAAGTGATGACCGTGGTAACATTGAGGTGTTCTTATTACCACCATGCTATGTGTACTATTCCAGATGTTACTAAATGTTACATAATACTTCCTTGAGATAAATGTACAGTATATATCAGGTGCCTACAGAAGAGCTCAGGTTCTCAACTCGCTCAGCCATGGTAATATTGTTATTATTATCCAATCTGTATCTGTGTTTTTTCTGCTTTTGCTTGGTTTCTGACTCTTGCATACATCCTCCTGTCCTGTTTATCGTTTGACCCAACCCACGTCTTAAATTTCTGGGTTTTCTTCTAAACTTCGTCGACCGCCGCATGGTTCACGTGTAGGGATCCCCTCGTATTCCTAGAGGCTCTGGGTTTGGTCTTGGGTATATATTTATCGATCAAATGGGTCACTTTATTAGTTATGATATTCAGTGTAGTGTCTGTGTTCTTGTGCCTTAACGAGTCAGGCCAGTGGATACCCCTCATCTCTTCCCGTTGTAATTTCCCTTGTAATATTTGAACCTTGGCCTGACCTTATCTTGAACTAGGTAACAGTTAAATCTGAATGACAACACTACATGGTGACTGGTACCAACTGGGGCAAGGTGTTCCAGTTTGGCCACCATACCCTCCTCGTTTGTCATAATGAGGTCTAGTGGCTTGGGTGTTTGCTCCCCTCTGTTATGTGTCAGGTCTCTAACATGTTGGAACAGAAAATTATCTCCGTTTCTACAAAAAGAGGAACAGGGTTATTCAAGTCATTTGGGGTGAACTCGTTTCTCCAGTCGATGTCGCCATAGTTTAAGTCCCCCATGATAAGGAGGTGGCGAGGGATGAGCATTGCTGCATTGTCTATCAAGGCTCTTAAGTTCCTTTGATTTAGTGGGCCACAGTTTGGGGATCTGTAGATACACCCGACAATCAAGTAAGTCCCCTCCCATTAATTTAATTTTACACCACTTGCTCTTCAAAAACATCCTCTCCCTGTACCCTCGCCTGTCTGGCTCTAAAGTTTTGCCTAGCATAGATAACCGCAACCCTCTTGCAAGTTTCTTGAGAAAGGTTCGTAAATGAGTCATATCCAGCAATACTGAACTCGCATTCCTCTGGGTCGATTCTCCTGTTCTTGTACAACAGTTCTACAACTCCTACAATATCGAGTTGGTGTACCTTCAGTAGCGTTTCAAACTCCTTTCTCTTATCAAGGAATGTGTCAGTATTAGTGTACAGGACATTCAAGCCAGTTTGTTCTCTGTAACGTCCCGGCTCTTAGAACTATTTTGCAGGGTGTGGTTAGAAAGGTCATCTTTTACACGGCTCTCGCCTCCTCCCGGCTGGTAGGCAGAGCTGGTGCCACCTCCCGGGTGAGGGATAGAGCAGGTGGAGGGTGCGCTGCTGCCCCCTGGCTATGTGTTGGAACACTTGCTTCCACTACCCTCCCACTCTCAATATAACCCATGTACACCCATCCCCATTCCTCCTCGGCTCCTCCCTCTTCTGCTTCAAGCCTTACAGGAGCTTCTTATGCTGTTCCGTCTGGATTACCGTGTGATTTGGGTGAATGAATACACTCAGAGATGCCTCGCTCCTTGCTAAGTGTTTTGTGCGCCTACCAAATAACCTCCCATTTCTCCTCCTCACTCACTAGTGTGATCCTGAGGGGGCGAGGCTTAAACCCCCTGCTTTTGTCCCAGCCTCCTCACATCCTGAGGGTTTGATTGATTCTTCAGAACCTCTGTACAAATATTCTTAAACTGCTTCTTATCGTTTGTTATCCTACTCTGTACCCTCCGCCTGGCTCTCAAGGACTCCCAAAAACTATTACATTGTTCCTGAGCTGGAAACGTTCCCCCCCTCCCTAACAGTAGGTCCGCTAATTGTCATTTCTTCGACACACTTCTTCAGTCCCTAGCTGCTGTAGAACCCGTTCTCATCCTGCATTACTCTCCGCCACCTCCCGCGGCCCTGCTAAGGCCTCAGCATAACTCCTCTTTGCTACCACCTCCATTCTATCGGCTAGTTCCTCAGTCTTAGCAAGGATCTCTTTCCCAACTTGATCTAATTTGGCAACCAGCAAGGATACTTTTTTTTGATGGCTGCACACACGATAGCTGTGATTATATACTTGCTAGATTTACTGTAAATTTATATGATGAATTTACTGAATATATCATTATCATTGCCATTATTTTCAAATTTATTATAATTAACTATTGCCCTGCAGTGAAAGCATGCAGCATAAGAGGGAACATTGTGGCTATCAGCCTCTTCCACTTGGAGGATCAAGAATAACAAGATCAAACATTTACAGGATTTATTATACACAGTCTCGTGTACTGCCGTGTTGGTGACGGTCCATGTGTCGCGTTACTCAGGGCAGCCCAGGTGATGGTGACGCTCCCTGTGTCGCATTACTCAGGGCAGCCCAGGTGATGGTGACGCTCCGTGTTGCATTACTCAGGGCAGCCCAGGTGATGGTGACGCTCCGTGTTGCATTACTCAGGGCAGCCCTGGTGATGGTGATGCTCCGTGTTGCATTACTCAGGGCAGCCCAGGTGATGGTGACGCTCCCTGTGTCGCATTACTCAGGGCAGCCCAGGTGATGGTGACGCTCCGTGTTGCATTACTCAGGGCAGCCCTGGTGATGGTGATGCTCCGTGTTGCATTACTCAGGGCAGCCCAGATGATGGTGACGCTCCGTGTTGCATTACTCAGGGCAGCCCAGGTGATGGTGACGCTCCGTGTTGCATTACTCAGGGCAGCCAAGGCGATGGTGACGCTCCCTGAGTCGTATTACTCAGGGCATCTAAGTGGCATTACTTAGGATGCAAATTACTTATTTACATATCACCAAACACACAAACATGCATACACATGAACACAAACATACGCGCACACACACACACACACACACGAACTTGCATACACATGCAATCACGAACTTGCATAAACATGCACACACAGGAACATACACAAGAACACACACACACGTACGTCAACATTACACGGAACAGGAGTAGGATTACTGTGTAGCTCTGAGCCGTTGGAATCTATAAATCCTGGGTGGATGATGACTTGAGTAGTTGGGAAAAATTGTACAATGCCCACCAAGTGTCCTATCGTCCACCAAATAAAAGAGGGGTTTTGACTACCTTTTGGGCATTAAGAGACATGGGAGGGGGGGGGGGCGTTCTGTTTGACGAGTCTTTTGGGGAACTTACACTAAAACAAAAATATTAAAGTGATGGAGGAACTGTGAGTCATGTATTTGGGATGACAAGACATGATGATATGTGTGTGTGTGTGTGTCGCATCCACCACGCCCTGTCCGTTTCAAGCTACCATTAAACTTTACTCTATTGCAAGTTCCCCATAAACCTTACAAGTTTGTAAATGTAGACGGGCGAGGGAAGTTGTAAGACGGGTGTGGAGGCAGGTGTAGATGAGTATTATATGGACACATTCCTACAGGTGTGGACTCTAGTGACCACTCTGGAGACTCGCAGGAAGTAAATGTCTTTCCTCACGATTCACAAAATTCCAAATTAAATAAAACAACTTGCAAAAAAATCGAACAAGCATATGTTTTAGAGCTAATGAAATATTCAACATAAAAAAACTAACAATACAAAAGTGTTTAGAAAGCAGTAACAATCAACTTAGGTCGCTCGAAATTAATAAATTGCACTATTTACAGTCTCTTATTTTCTTAATAAGTATAGACCTGCCACTACCGGTTTATATATTGCACTAAACAGTTTTATTCTTCTATAAAGCCCTGATTATATAAACCTAGGGAACATATCACTCAAAAGAATCCTGTTTTTAGTAATGAAGGACGACTACTGGTCCTCCCAGTGTCTGTTACAGCACTAGTGACACCAGTACTTATGTCGGAGGGTTAGAAGACTACTGCTTTGTAATGTCACAGTTAACCATGTAGGCTAAAGTGAAGGAACAAATTCTAGCACTTATCATTCCTGAAAGTATCCAATCGTTCATGATCAACTTTCAGTATAAGAGTCAAATATCGCCTTGAAATGTTCAGTTTACTGAACTCAGGAGGACGTTTTTCTACCTTGCTAGCGCCATTAATATAAGAGCACCAGTACAGGAAACGAGGATAAGAGAAGAGATGGTGCTGACACTGGATGCTGACATGGGGTCATGCTGGTCACTGTTAGTTGAAGGATATGGTTTTTCACTAGCATCACGTCTCCTTCGCTCCTGGCGATCCAGGTGGTCATGGTCGTGGTCAGGGTGAGCGTCGTCCCGAGGGTGTTCTGGCCTCAGGCCTGGATCATCACGGGTCAGGATAGCCCACACATCCTTTAGGATGGTTAAGTGTGTCTGGTTGGTTGCTGCTGAAGAAGCTGCAGTGTCGGGGCGAGATGTTGTGGGAGGTCGTGACGGGGCATAAGCTTCAGCTGTTGCTGGATAATTACTGATGGACACGACTGCATTATGTCCGACATCAGCAGACAGTTCCTGGTGAGTCAGGAGGGCTGCGGGGACCGGAGGATCATCTTGACTGTGTAACACTACTGGCCGAATGGCGCTCCCCGAGGCGATAATTCCAGGGGTTTGATTACCTTGTGGAGGAGGCACAGGAGTTGTGGGGCGGCGGTCTAAGGGACGTTGCTGGCGGGAGAACTGTGCCAGATGAGGTACATTTGCTGGCACAGGGGGTGGGTGATCCCCGCGGAAAGGCCCAGTTTTGGGACGGTTGGTAATGGAAGCTGCAGAACGTCGATTGTCGGTTGGAAGCCGAGGTGGCGTTGGCAGGCTGTCGGGGGACAGAGGCCGACCGTCCGATGTAAACACCTGGGCTGAGGCAGCTACCACCATGTCCTCATCGTCGTGTTCTAGAGGGGAGTTGACCAGTACTGGTTTGAGAACTTCAGGTCCAACAAGTTGTGGGAAAGGGATGGCATGGTCGTCAGGGAGTGGAACCGTGGCTGCCACGCGGCGTAAGGACGGCTTATGGACCCATGGCCTTTGTTTGGGCCATCCCATTCGATTCACACTCCCCGACGACCTCACCGGCCCATTAGGTCTTCTTGAACCATTTCGTCTCTGTGAGCTATTAGTTTTTCTGTTAAATGGTCGGGGTTTAGGTGTGTTAGGGCGCAGAGGACGGTTAGATGCAGCTCCTCCCAGGCGCAGCATTACGTGCTCCATTGGTACTGGCAAGGGTATAGGGGGAGGGTCAAGGCTCTCGCTAAAGGTCACGGAGTCATGGAAGACAGGGTTTGGGATGTTGAAAATATATTCTTCAGGGATATTTCTAGAGTCTTTGTCATGCGATTCGTCTGTGTCATCAAATCTGATGCGTCTGTGGGAAAACCTTACGGGGCCAGCGGTACGTGGGCCAGCAGGTCGTTGTGGGAACGACAGCCGAGGGGGGTAGGGTGGGCGCGGTGCACGGATGGGCATGATATCGGACGTTGACACTTCAAAAGCCAGCACAGGACCAGCAGGGTTCCTCTTAATGGGACGGAAGTCAGACTCATAAACAACAGATTCCGGGTCGAAACCAAAGTTCTGAGCAAAACTCTCACTCAAGGTAGTAATAGGTGACAGTGTCGTGCGTGCAGGTGCTGAGGTAGTGACTAGGCCCCTTCTGATGGGATGTTGTCTGCTGAGGGAGGACAGTTGGTAGACAGGCGATGCTTGACCGGGAAGTCGAGGCAGTGAAGATGCTGTTATAACCTCTGGCTCATGGCGAGATTGTTGGTGCGACGTTTGCACCAGAGGCCTGGAGGTTCCGACATGCCGGGAGGGAACAATTGGAGTAATGGGCGTCTGCAGTCGAGTAAATGATGACTGTTTGAAAGGAGATGTTGGGTTTGCCGATATTGGCTGCCTGGTAGGTGTCGGTTTGTATGATGTCTGCTGACCAGTGGGTGTTGGTCTGTACGATGCTGCCTGATCAGTGGTTGTTGGCCTATATGATTTTGATATCTCAGAGGATGTTGGTCTGTATGATGTCAGTTCACTGGTAGGTGTTCGTCTGTATGATGTCGGTTGACTGGTGGGTGTTGGTCTGTATGATGTCAGTTCACTGGTAGGTGTTCGTCTGTATGATGTCGGTTGACTGGTAGGTGTTGGTCTGTATGATGTCTGCTTTCTTGAAGGTGTAGTTGGTGGATTGTGTAGGGGATGTCTAGCAGGTGTTGAGGATCGTGTTGGTGGTGGCTGATAGGAAGCAACAGTCTTCGTGAACATCGATGGCTGTGCCGGAAATGTGTCCCGGACGTCTTCTTTTGGGTTTAATGGCGCTTTTTCAGAGACAATGGTGGTCGAGGTCCTTGGTGGTGTGGCTGAGCCAGCAAAGAACTGGGAGGTGGCATTTGAGGAGGTTGGTGGCCTGGAAGACCTTGTGAGTTCTGGAGGAAAGTTAAACTTAGGAGGAGGAGTGAATAGCGGTTTTGAGGGGATGGAGGAAAATGTAGGACGCGTTGCTGGTCGAGTTGGTCCCGGGGAGGACGGGAATTTCTCACGAAGTAGGTCCAGTGGGAAGTTCATGTCGTCTTGGCTAAGTTTTGGAAACTCCAAGTCACCCTGCTGTGGTCCAAAGAACTCTTTAGGGACATCTCTTGGCACACCTCTCAAGTTGACATTCCCAAGGTTAGCAAATGCTGTGGCATTAACTACACTTGCTGGGTTTTTCAGATTAGGCAGCTTGGGGAATGTAAATCCTGGTGCTCCCAGAGGTATATTTTGTGGGGAGTAGCTAACTCCTTGGAGCAGCGGCGGCGGGAGTGCCTCCTGACCTACCGGACCTATGTCTTCAGGACCCAGGTCAAAAGGGAAGCTATCAAATCCGGCTTGGAACTCTTTGGGAAAATTTGGAAATGAGAAATCTCCAGGAAGTATTTCGTCTGCTGGCTTGGGTTGAGGTCTAGGCTGTCTCGTCACAGTTGGTCGTGGAGGCTTGACAACACCTCCTCCAGGAATCCTGTTGGAGGTGTGGCCGATGGGCGGGCGGTGAAACCCTGGGTGTGGGGCAGCCCCAGCGTCTCGCTCGTCATAGTAATAGTCATAGAAGTCGTAGTCTGCAATATATACACAAGTCAGACACCTGTTGTATTAAAAATGGAACCTACGTCTGTCAGCACTACTTACTGAACCAGTCTTCTGTAACTATATTAGAGATATACTACTGTAACCAGTAACTGTTTTATACAGTACTGTACTATATAGGAACAACTGTACAGGTACGGCATTTGGAAAACGTCACAGCAAACTAAACCTCACTAAAGTATGAATCTGTGTTATGATTATATTGTCTATCTAAGTTCTAATAGATTGTAGCTAAATCACTAAACATTGGAAATATTTTATTACTGTTTTTTCCAGTATCATTTACAAAGGCAACAAAATCCTGTTATTAAAAATGTGTACACTAACAAAAATTATAAAGAGATGCTGGACGGATATTTTAATAATGTTAACTTAATCAGAAGACAGGAAGCTGAAGATATGAATGACAGGATATCAAGACAACTGAACTTATGTCACCGAGTGTTGGCAGGTGTGAGTGTGTGCGAGGTTTCACTTAACCTGGGTACTGTTGTTCTGGGAGTCTCCTCAGCTCCAACCTTCCCCAGTAACTTTATTCTTAACCAAGACTGTTTTTTTTTGTGGGTGTGCGCGATTCTCCACAAAAATAAACACAGTACTCTATAACCAATTCCGATTTCTATTATCCGCTCCTTCCACGAGTCCCCCCGTGACACTGGAAGGTGTTAAAGTAGTATGTTATTTGTGGTAGTGTATATACTTTTTCTCCAGTGTGTGGAATAGAGCTTAAGCCAATGACAAAGTTGTGAATAGTCATCTTATTTCTTCCTTACACCACTTAACTGCAACTTTATGAGAAGGATTTAATAATCTTAATGCTGGTTTGACCCTTTGAGGACGATGGTTAAACCTTTAAAAACAAACATTTTAATCAAGGACGCATCTCAGTCCAAACTTTTATCCTTCCCTATCCCAAAAGTAACCTTGTACTATTTATTCCTCTTTTTCGGTCAATTTTTTAGAGTTAAAGCATTTGAGTGGACAGTTCGCCGTTTTCTTCTCATTTAATGGTAAGAAAAACAAATGTATAAGTATTTCCGTGGAGACTCCAGCTTAAACCAAAAAGAGGGAGAAAGGTTACTTACTTGTGGTAAAAAGGTGGTAGAGGAGAGGGGTTTTGTGGTGTAGCAAGGGTAGGCGAGCCAATGCCACACCTGCCACAATCTTACTCTCGTTCACTCACCAGGTAAAGAAAGTGGTCAAGAATACCTGTTATAAAGAATACCTGTTGCTGGGCAGCATCAACATTGGCTGTCACATCAGGAGTGTCCCTGGGAAGTTTTGCTGTAACTGGCTACTCCTAAACGTAAAAAAAGGAAAACCTACACCACCTAGAATTTACACCTAAGTAAAAAAAAAAGAGTCATGCTGAAGAAACATTTGTTTATAGAGGTCGTCCTTGAGGTCATGCCGAGAAACTCATGCTGATGAGACGAAATTGTGCTCTCAGAAGGTACTCAAGAGGGGCATCAGTCCTCTCTGGTCAAGTCAGTGAGAAAGGAGAGGTTCAAGTCATTGGTCAAGTCGAGTAGCATGCTTAAGTTCACACACATCTAAGTATAACTCAGGTCAGGTCAGATAGGTGAGGTCAGCTCAAGAATAAATCAAACCAAGTCAGGTAACATCATAAGTAATTTGTGGAAAGTAAGATCAGAATAAAGTACACAACAGTTTTGTTTTCCAAGTTTTAGATTTGATAAAGTCGAAGTCAGATCGAACAAATCCAGCAAGTGTAGTTCAGGTTAAGTAGATCATTTGAGGTCAGGTCAGTCAAATTCTTTCACGGGATGGGAGACCATTTTTAACGAGAGCCTTCTTGTGATGCTTTCAAGGGGAGGGGGGAATGGAACGAAAGTCGTGATATTTCAGTTTGAAACTCTTTTTCAACTTTATATCAGAGCTAGCACACCACTGGCTGAAAGTATTATTCAAGTTTTAATTCCTGTCTTCATACCGCATTCTATATCAGCAAGCAGCTCCTGTTATCATGTTTTGCACAGTTAAAGGCATATTGCAAGCAAAATATTATATACCCAAATTTGCACCTTCTTCTCTGCAGTAATCATTATAGCAGTGTTTCTTCTTGTATTTGGGTCCATCATATATTCTTAATTTTGTTACATGAAAAAGGTGATTAATTACTGTATATTAATATTTGAACAGGTGTCACCAAGAAGCATTTTTTTTGGCAAGTGGGATTAAAGTTTTTCCATAATCACCAATGTTATATGTTGCTCTCACTAGTAGTAAGAAGCCCACAGGAGTTATATTTTGTTTTACAGGCAGTAAGCGGAGACCAGCCTAATCCTTAATTGATCCTTCAACATAGGCCTTTTCCTGCACAAAGGATATGTCCAATGCCATCAGAACCAGAAATATTTCCAGCACAATTAAGACCAGAAATATTCTCAGCACCATCAGGACCAGAAATACTTCCAGCATTATCAGGGTCAAAGGTGACAAGGGGGGGCAGATATCTCTAAGGTCATCAGAGCTGTGGAGGTCTTGAGGATCACAAAGGGGGGTAGGGGGCTGGGGGGCAGTGACAGCTGACCACTAAGCTCCATTAAAACACTGACGCTGGCACCGACATTAGACTTGAGCATGGCTGGTAAGGCAGCAAGGACGAGGAGGAGGTAAATTTTGCAAGGCGAAATAAGCCCAAGTAGTAGTAGTGGTGGTGGTGGGTTATGGTGGTTCCTGGAGGTGGTGGTGGTAGGTACTGGATATAGTTGGAACTGGTGGGAGTGGTATTGGATATTGATGGTGCCAGGTGTCAGAGGCAGTGGTGGACATCGCTCGAGGTAGTAGGTATCAGTGGTGGACATCGCTCGAGGTAGTAGGTATCAGTGGTGGTGGTGGTGGTGGTGGTGGTGGTGGTAGTAGTAGCAGCAGTACTGCATGTTATGGTGGAGGTGGTGGTAGCACATCTTGTAGTGGTGAGGGTGGAGGTAGTGCCTGTCATGGTGGTACTGGTGGTAGTAGAACGTATTGTATGTAGTATTGGTAGATGAATTATGGTTGTGGTAAGGGCAGTAGCAGTGTGTGGAGGCAGGGCTGGTAACAATGACCGCACTAGTAACATTGGTGCAATATTATAAGCTGAACCAAGGCTGAGTAAGGCTGAGGAAGCGGCTGTAAGGGTGAGGAAATAAAACGCACAGGAAAAGGCTGGGCTGACCATCACCCGGGAGTTTCTTAAACAATAACACGGGTACAAGCACCAACCACAAGATACTATCACACAAACAATAAAAAAGAGGAGGAGAATAAACAATAAATGCATGTACAGTATATAAAAAGAGACGAGGCAACACGAGAGTCTGTACCACAAACTGGAAGTAAATATTGAGTAAACACAGACACTAATTCAGGGTTGTGGAATATTTTATGTTTTGGTTTAGTATAAAATTTCTTGTGTGAAGGAGCCAGAACTAACCAGTGAAAGTTGTGTATGACAAAGTTAATCAGATCTATGAATTATATGAATGTTTAAAGATACTTCAATACGACTTTGGTGTTCATGACTCCTGCACACCAGAAAATAAAAAATTAGAAAATAATAAAAGAATAGAACTTGAAGAATTCTAACTACTATATATATATATATATATATATATATATATATATATATATATATATATATATATATATATATATATATATATATATATATATATATATATATATATATATATATATATATATATATATATGACTAAAAACCATGAACTTTTTCACAGAATACATTTGCTGGGGATTTATAATTTATTTTTATAAATGAAAAAAGTGTCAACATTGCAAGCATTGATAGCATGTGTCGGTCAATAAGTTCATGATTTCTAAGCCAGGAGGTGATTGATGCTGGGCCCGAGCATCACCCAGGCCAAGGGATCAGATGGTCTTGTTCATATCACGCAGACTAACACAAGATGGTACAAAAATAAACTGTGGCCCAGAGGAGGACTTATAATTTAAGTGTTGCTTTTGTCAACTTTGAGATCATCCATATCAGTTCACTTCACAAGTTACAACAGGTTGTTCAGTATGATCGTCACTGCCAAGGTGGAAATTTTAACAAAAAGTTCAACTTTCGTGCCAGTAAAACCAAAATCAAAAGTAAGTTGAAGATCACAGTATATTATTATTTACTTTTTAACATTATAAACTTCCTATCCCAGAGGACAAGCAAACTGCAATAACGTTTGCACCATTCCAATGCAACATTTACACACATTTTGAAGGGAAACTCTCGTTAAACTAGTGACATGTGTATAGCTCCCCTGTCTGTCTCTCCGTAAGGGTGGCAGTAAGGTTGGTGGCTGACTCTATGCATAATGCGTGAGGCATTTATCTTCGTCCCTTGTGGGAGGGTCTCAACCACTCCGACACTCTGTCGCTGTACACCCCAGGGACGCTGCTACCTCTCTGTCCTACCAAACTAGTTCTCCACTACCAAGTTTGTATCTTTCTCAAACAATCAGCAATTCTATCTGCATGATTTCCCTGTCTACCCCACTGTCATCTAATCCAGTGAGACTTTGAAGAACCATCTTGGTAGTGGTGCAGTTACCAAGGCAAGAATCTAATGCTGTTCTTTTGTGTTGTATGTCTTCACAATATTTAAATCAACCTATATTTACCTTTCCTACAAAGGCTCATGGGTTGCTGCATCACGTAAAAGGATCAACTAATTTTGGTAATGATTCATTACATTTTCAAACCCTAATAGAGTACAGTTAACGTTTTCTGATAAATTATATTTTTGAAGTTTTTTGATCGATACTCGGTAATGATTTGTTATCACATTTAATTTATGGTTATCAATTTGAATTTTATTCTTCATAAAGTGGTTTATGGTTCATTAGTTTTACTTAAATATGAAGTCCTCCTCAGCTGCCATGTTATAGTGATATATCAAAGTTCCTAAAATCATCTCTAGTATTATAACTATTATATTTTCATCTACAGTTTAATACTTGTGCGGCTCTAGACTCGAGGAACGCCCAGAGTGAATAATGACGAGTGAGGTGGCGCAGGTTGACCACTTCACTGTTAAGGTGTGTGTGCCCATCAACTACGTCCTGCCGCACACGCTGCACTGACCACAGAAGCTCACTCACTCACTCACTCAGGCGCGGCTGGGGTGAAACAGCAGCCAGCTCCTCCACAGTGAGAGGAATGGCATAACCTGTGACAACACCCACCACCTGGAGTAAGAGCGAGGTAGGTGGGGTTAATGGAGCGTACCTGAGGCCCCGGGCAGCACTACAGAAGAGTCCTTCACAGACCCTGCCGCTGTCAGCTGCTCTGAGTCGCACCTGTCCACAACATGGATCTTCCAGCCAAGGAAACGGTGAGTGTAACACTGAAATAACCATTAAGAATAAAATAAAATATTAGTAATTTACAAATATCCTCGGTCTTTAGCACTAGAGCCACAGATAGGCTCACTAACACTTCTAATGCACCCTAAGTAGCAATGTGACCTATTTTTCATGTGTAAAAACCATGACCACCTAATGCAGTATATTTCCTAATTGCGAGTACTGTACTGTACTACATAATGCGCTAAGAAATATTAACAGCAATCACCTTCCATCGTACTTAATATTAAAATATATTATGCAAAACTTCTGTTGACAAAAGAATACTTTTAATATTAGAAAGAAATGTGGAGATTGTTTTCTCCACCTGACAAATTGTTGCAATCTCTGCATCGCTCATCCTTAAGGAAATGGAAACTAAAATTGGAAAATACAGGTGTTTCTGGTGTCTGACACCTGTGTTGGCTTCAATACTGCCACACAGCAGGACGAGCCTCAGAATTCACAGACAGCAGAACATTACACTATAGTACCACCTACAAGATTAGGAAGTACCTGGGTGTGTCACCCTTACCTGGTAGTAGACAGTGTCTGGCGTAGCCGCATCTGGAGTCCACTGTAGTATGCCTGGTTGTCCCTCTTGGCAGTCGAGCTGTAAGGTTCTTTGGTAGGCACCGAAGGAACTGAAGGCATTGGCGGGTTGGTTGGGGTCTTCGTTCCATTCACAAAGGCGGCCGTAGGCTGTGGGTACAGGGCTACCGTCCCGGTCCTGCCCCACCCCCGCAAACACCCTAACACGCTGTTGACACAATGTATTATTGACACATGCCAGCTTGTGTTGACCATCATATGAGGGGCATTAATTTTCTTTTTTCATGATACATGCATTTCATTTCTATGCTTGAATGAATTCCCTATAAAACAAAGCTCTACCAAGATTTCATTGCCCAACAAAGGATCAAATTTGCCTCCTTTCCTTCCTCCTCTTTAGCCATCTCATTAAAATGGAGATCAAGGACAACTCAGGTTTAACATGCGAATCCAGCAAGAAAAACTCAAAGATCCCGAAGGTATACTCACAGATTGCTCTGCCGGGGTCTTGAACTCGTAGCCTCCCTCGGGGTCGTCGGTGATGTAGAAAGGGTGATAGCGGGAGGGACGCTCAGGGTCGAAGCCGCCCTCCACCACAAAAGTGTAGGTCTTGCCCCGCACCACGTTTATCTCTGGGATGAGGAGCCCGTTGATGTACCAGGAGATGCCCCATCCGACGTGACCTGCCACACGGATCATAGTGTTAGGAGATGAGGTAATTTATGGGCTACAAACAGGTCTCTTTTTTCACACATTCACTCATACACCCACACAAGGGACCTCATCCACCCTACGACTGGCAATCAGGGTAGAGAAATAAAGAAATAAAACTGGAGCATTATTCAGTAGTTTCTTAGAACTTTGGAATCCACCTAGTCTGTGATGTCACTTGTTACTCAGTTTGATTTTTCTTAAAATAAATTTTTATCCTAACGGTCAGTTACTCGAGTTTCTAATCCATGGATATAATATATGACATAAAATCCTTTTTTAACAATATCAGTGACAATGTGGTTCCTTATCAGTGATGGCACTCCACCTTACCAGTGATAGCGTTATAGCCGTTGTCTCCTCCAGTGGGGCCAATCTGAGCGTAGAGGACACCGTCTTCCGGCTCATAACAGGGAATGGGGGGGATGAACCAAGGGTTGGCAGCAGGGCGGGCGGGGGCAGGGTTGGTGGGGCCCCTGGAGGTAGAAGTCTTGCTCTGGCTGTTCTGGTCCTCAGGCAAGGGACAATTCCACTGTGGAGTTCGCCCGAAGTCAACAAACATGTCGCCTGTGATGGTTGGAGAGTAACCAGATTAATTATTTTTCAATAAAATTTTTGAGTAGAATTAATTGCATACATAGCATTTCTATCCTAACAATATGATAAATACAAACACTCAAGATAATTACTGTTACTGCTTATAGCCAAAACATACGAGTTCAGAGTGTGACACACTACAGCCTCAACTCTCACAGTCTCCGAGTGTCCGTGTCTATCTGCTGCATCACATAAGTTTAAAAGAACTCGGGTGAATTGTCATAAGGTTCATCTCAGACGGTGTGTATTCTTCAAAAGCTAAGAGTCTTAATTAATACAGAATCTTATATCAAGGGATAGACAGATGTTAATAACTGCCAACAAAAAGTAATTCTGAGCAGATAAAACAGGTAGTCAGGGCTCTCTAGACCTGGACACACTGGTACAAAGAACTATGTTGAGGCTATATTGACTCAAGACTTAATGCCACACAAAAGAGAACCTCTGAGGCGGAGGGTGTGGTAGGAGGTGTCGCCTTGGGAGTTGACAGGCCCCACAGCCCAGATGACCGCTTGTGACCCGTTAGTGAGGATGGGGGCGTCTGAGAAGTCGACAGAGCGGAGAGGGCGCTGGAAGGTCAACATAGTGAAGTCGTTGATGAGGGCAGCGTTCAGCAGGCGCACATTGTTACTGCTGCCCTGTGGAGGAAGGGGGGGGGGGGATATGAAGGAAGTGGTCAGAAAAGTTTGCTGTAAATGTAAACAACTGAAAGCTACCATTAGTTCCTGTAAACAACAAATAATCTGTAAACATTGTTTTTGTCTCCTCCGTAATTTATTAAAAACCATTTGGGGAAAGTGAAAACTAACTTGTTTATTTAGTAAAGATACTGTAGTCTATATTTTTTTGGCGAAAATGTATGATCCTTCGCCTCTTGTGTCATGGGATTATAGCGAGTTACATCACTTCTCAAATGTAATTTTTTTTTTTTTAAAGTGGAAAAAATATCCAAGTGGTGTTAAGAGTATTTAATCATAATGTAAAATAAGCATTGTTGCCTAATCTTCAGGTGATCTTAACTTACGGTACATGTTACTTTACCTTCATGTACTGACTTCAAATGAATGGTCTCGCCCCACCTTCCCTACTTACGGTGATTTTGTTGTCAGGACACGCCCCTTGGCCACCCTGACACTGTGCCTTGGCCGACATGTAGTAGTCCTCAGCCACACCTCGTCCTGTCAGCTGGTCAAGCCAAGCCACAACCACGTCACCACCTATCATCACCGACCTCGTCAGCTCTCCCGATGTGCCGAATGCCATGTACTGCCCGTCAGCTGAAGGAGAAGTAAAGTGGGGTCAGTACCCAGGTGGTGTTTGGCCAATAGTGTCAGTACCTGAATAAATATAGGAAGGATGTAGGGAAGTGGCATAAGCACCTGAATGAAGGTAAGAGAGTACAGTACATGGAAAAAAAAACGTATGAAGTTTTTTTGGGGGGGGAGGAGTTATGTCCCTTATGGTAAACCCTTTTAAGGATACATGGTTCTCTATAAACCCTTACTAATAGAAAGGGTTTACACAGTACTGTATTATCATTCTATAAACTCTTACTCTACAAAAGGGTATGTAAACAGCAATACAATTAAAACCCTCAGGTTGCAAAAGGGTATATCAAGGTGTAGAGAAGCCCTGTGAAAACAACAAGGCACTGATCTTCCTCACACTGCTTATCCCCCTCTACTGGCCGGTGAGACACTCTTCTGGTCAAGACAGTCCTCACACGTCTTTCAGTTATGCTGTAAAAAGCAGTATTGTACCACAACCAAGTATGATATGGCGCTAGAGTCCTGACTGTTGGCACACACTCACGACATTACGTTGTCACTTTGCAATAGTTCTTTCCCATAAAGATGGGTCATGACTTCACTTTCTAGCATGCCAACGCTCTTCACCAACACTGTCACTCTCCGATAAATTCATTGTCACTTTAAATATTCCTTTTTATACAAAAATAGCACCGAGAAACAATGAACTGGATCCTTCCCTCCTGTGGCGGGCTCGGCGCCGCTCAACGTGGCACGATTAGCTGTGTAACCCGGTGCTCATTGGCTCATTTGGCATATTCAAAACCAAGTATGTATCAAATATCTTCTCTTATCCATCTTTTTTTCCCTTCTTCATTTTCTCCTGTCCACCTCATGTTCAGGTGTACAGTTGAGTTATTTACGTTTAACATGATCATGAATAGTGGATGTTACAATGTTAAGTCATAGATCCCTAACATTATACTTCCATCTCCTTTTTGCCACAGTATGTACAGACAATTTTGTTTTGTTTTTTTGTCTCTGTTTACTTTCTTGGGGAGTTTCTGGAGAATTTGCTAGTTGTTTGGAATCTTATGATAGGAAATTATTGGCATTTTCCCCTCCCCTCTCTCTCCCTCCCTCCCTCTTATTTCACCATTTCTATCAGTTTTCCTCCCTCTCTCCTCCTCTCTTTCTGTGCTACCAGATCTCCTACTCGCCTTCTCCTTCCTTCCCTCTCCCTCACCCACCCACTCCTTCCCTCTCCCCTGCAACATTGTGGGACAAAATAAATTCCCTCTGGCTTGAGGTGATCCCTGGAGTCATTTAGTGTGAGCTCCTCTAGCGATGTCTTACCCGAGAAAAGAATAAGACAATGTACAATGTCATTGTAACTCTAAACTATAATGTAAAGTCCTGTGCCACGACAGTAAATAATTTTCTATTTTTACGTTGGAGTTCGTGAATCTGGCCTGCCATTGGTTCGTTCACTAACCCGTCATCATGGATCTGGCCTGCCATTGGTTCATTCTGTAACTCGACATTGCAGATCTGGCGAGTCATTCGTCTGTAGTATTTCTCTGTGTCTCTCGGGGGACAAAAATCCGAATTAATCTATCAAGAGTTTACAACGGATAACAGCGACGTAGATCAGGCCGACGCAGACCTAATTTGCTAACTTATTTCCTCATTAATTGACTTGAGCGAAGGATAATAAATAATCAGAAGCCCTCCCTCCACTGACTCCTCAATCAGCGGGGGTTACAACTAGAGCGGACATGATTAATAGGTTTAAAAAAACCAAGATAAGAAATTAGTATTCAATTCTTCGTATTAATAGAGAATAGATATAGTACAAAGCTATATAAAACGTCTCCCACTCTTAATTTAATACATCTGGAGGGAATGTGTACACCCACTAAAAAATTATTCAGCACCTTTACGGCGTGATACAATATGACACGGGTGGCGAATATTTTTTTTTGTGGGTGTACATCAATTTAACATAATTATCTAAATTATCAAAAGTATCGAAGATTATCATTGGTGACCCAGTTTACTTTGGTAACAATATAGGCATTGAACTGAAAAAAAAATCCTAGGCACTTACAAAAGCTCACAAGAATGGCCTCGTATCTCTAGCTACTCAATTGTCAACATACAAGTTTCAGAAAGTAGAAGTGTATACTGATCGTCTGTTTTACCTGGGACATTAATTATATTCAGGGAGTTACAAACGACAGAACCACCCTGAAATGTGTCACAGCCATTTCATCAAGAGTAATACATCACCTTCAGAGTCTAGTGTGTCTGTCGACTGTCAATATAACTTACTGGAACTTCCCCCTTCGGATCTGCCTAATGGCTCTCTCCCTCCCTCCCTCCCTCCCTCCCCCAGCTGATGGGATAGTCGAACTTCTTACACATTGACGTTGTGATTGTCCGCCTGCATAAATCCCCGAGTGGGAGCTTGTCTCCAGCAGCCATCGCTTATTGGTCCATTTCTTTGTTTTATTGTGGCAGTTTAAGTTTATATCGGGTACTGACTGTGGAGTCTCTTGATAACTGGACTATTAGTCAACTCTCTACGACGGAGTTTAATTCAGGATTTCCTTTCGCTCCAACTAAATTCTTGTACCGTATTTGCTTATACTGATCTGTCCCCTTGGTGCTCCCAGGAACCTGAACCATAGACGTTTTTTTATAGTAATACTAAGTTCATAACATGACAAAAAAACAAAAACGAATTGACACCATCTTTGATATTGAATGCATCTAACACCAGGATGCCTCGACACAAAGACAATCCAGGTCGTGAGGGAACTATTATAGGCACAAGTCATGTACACATCAAACCGCTGGTATTTGTCAGCAGGAGTGTGTATAGGAAGCAACTGCCCACCTCATCCGGGGAACATGCGCACTGTACCCGTAAAACAAACCGGGATCCCCCTCGGCAGGGTGTGGCCTCGACATCAAATCTGTTAGTCAAACAGAGATTCTCCGAAGCAGCTCGGCCACCATTTGCACAACGGCCTTGTTAGGGGTGCGTGGGTGAAAAACTATGGATGACGTGGGTGTTGAAGGTGATCCCGCACATCTACTCTTCCGAGATACACGTCACCCTTTGTCTACCCCATACATATCATCCTTTATTCTCACTTAACCTAACCTGTTCTTAAGTGCTTTTAACCAAATCAGGTATGATTAAATTAAAACTGCATTAGCAAGGATAATTATTAACCATAAATTATTACTTATTTACGTAAAATAAATATAACCTCATTAGCGCATCATTTATAAGGTTCCCGCATGAATGTTTGTTTTGTAGATGGTTATACTACAGCTCGGTCACCCTAGACGAAAAATAATGGATGGTCGGGCAGGAGTGCAGCCTTGTTGACAGTGGTGGCGAGCGACTCTATATAACATGGATCGGTATGTGATACACCAGGATTTAAGAGGAGACAATCAGGGATTTAATCCGAGACCCAGTGAGAGATACAGACAGCGATATAGTGTGTGTACCGCAGCGGCCTCACTGAACGACGATCCCAGTTATTGGTCATGGAGAGAGAGAGAAAGAGAGAGAGAGAGAGAGGAGAAATTGATTATACAGTACTTAAGTTCTATATTCCCGAGTCTGTAACCCATACTTAGTTGCATTAATCTCTAGGACTTAAATGAACTTAAAAAGACATAATGAACACAAGAATTATGACCTCTTGACGAGCTGGAGTAAGTGCTATGCTGGGAGCTATAACTAAATTCAAGTATTCTAGAATCTGCTGCGAGTTACAGTACACTAAGAGTAAGGAGGTATAAGCAAACACATCACTGATTATACCCTACATGAGGTATATAAACACAAACAAACAAACAAACAGAGGGTACACTTACTGATCCGGCCCACCAGCTGCATCACAATGCTCTCTCCAGCTACAGCCCAACGCACCTCCAGGGCCAGGTCGTCCCATAGCACCTCGCAGTTGAGCTTTGTCTGTAATAAAAACACAGATCAACTCAAGAGGTCAATTATAGAGGTCAATTAGGTCAGATAAGAGGTCATTTCGAGTGGTTGATGTATGCCAATGCAAAAAGTGGTCAATTCAATAGGAAGTCAACTTACATATCAACTTAGGTCAACTCAGGTCAATTTACAGGTCAACTCGAGTCAACTTACAGGTCAACTCGAAAAGTATAGGTCATCTCAAAGAGGGCAACTTACAGACCAAACCAGGTCAATTTACAATTTAACTTGGGTCAACTTACATGTCAACTCAGCATTCATACACAGGCAACTTTAATTGAACTACATATACACGGAAGACAATGTGTGTGTGTGTGTGTGTGTGTGTGTGTGTAAGTGTGTGTGTGTGTCCCACCTCACAAACCACCACGTGTCACCTCTCTCTCAAATGTCAGGTTCTCACATTTCCATATTGCAGTTGGCATTAAGTGACTTGCCGAGTAAATTATATAGTGATGGAGGGGAGGGGGGATATTCCATCACATTTGTGGAGGATGAGGAAGGGAGGAGGAGGGAGGAGGGGAGGAGGGGGAAAGGGGAGGAGGGGGAATGGGGAAAGGGGAGGAGGGGGAGGAGGGGGGAAAGGGGAGGAGGGGGGAAAGGGGAGGAGGAGAGGGGGAAGGGGGGGGAGGAGGGAGGGGGGGAGGAGGAGGGGAGAAAGGGGAGGAGGAGGGGAGAAGGGGAGGAGGAGGGGAGAAAGGGAGGAGGGGAGGAGGAGGAGGAGGAGGAGGAGGAGGAGGAGGAGGGGGAAAGGGGAGGAGGAGGAGGGGGGAAAGGGAGGAAGAGGGGGGAAAGGGAGGAGGAGGGGGGAAGAGAAGAGAAGGAGGAACGTACTTATGTTGTGGGGTTAAAAGCTGTCATTGCCCTGACTTTTAGGGCCGCACACACAACTCACACACATGTACGGTTTTTAAACATCATTCTATCTTTGAACTCCATATATGACCCATTAAATATAAGTGATTAAGAGTAAGTAATCTATTAAACAACTTGTGGTATGATTTTTATGAGCCAAGATCTTGTTGCTGTCGGCCTTCTGTCACCAGAGGCTTTAACTGTTTCTATTTTAATTAAAACGCTAAGAAAGACACGAGCGAGAATTATTAGCTTATGATGCCTCAACCGCGAGTTCTTCAGATTAATTTTCTTGAGTTTTTCTTCAGCATATTTACATTATATTCGTCTACGTTAAGTTATACTAGATATCTCTGCAAGATTATTGTGCAATATTCAGCCTTGACATTGCTCATACAAACCTATACAATTATAAGGTACCCTAGAGACGATCCTTATTGGTCATCAGGAGTGTGTTGTGTATTAGGAGAGAGAGAAAGAGAGGCAACGCACTGAAGATATACAGTAAAGTGTAACTTAACCAGTATACATACAAGCTATCTCTTGCTCTGTCACTCACAAGACAAACAATACCTGTGTCAGGAGTGCAAGATATTCATTTATTTCTAACAATCTATCCCATGTTTACTAAAGGACTTTTCCAAGTACTGCCTTACATTAGCATCTTATAGAAATACAGTATGTCTCATTAGTGTTGTGTGCTCTTGAAAACTTCAGCATTCTTATTGAAATTTTTTATACTTTTGTTTCTACATCATGGAAACTGTAAAAGCAGGGATCCAACACTCCTTCAGTAGAGATCATTATGTTGGATATCACATGAAGATTAGGCACCCCAGTTCATTTCACCTGATAATTAATCACCTCCATTTAATGTTAGGGTGTTTATTCATCAGTTAAAATAATCTAGGATGTCTAACCTTCATGTGATCCTGTTGATAATCTCACCTGGTGCTGATCAAAATAGCCTCGTCGGTCATACAGGCATAACCTCCAGATGGAGATCAGAGGCTGACAGGAGGTAGTCACTCGGGAGAAACTGCTCTGACGTAATGTGGTTGAGGGTCTACAGTCATACACCTGTGACACTAAACCGCTTATGGTCCACAATACGGCTGGAGACTCAGGGACTTACTTCAATACTATAATACACTGGTACACAAGATTCTTAAAATATACCAAGGCAGTGAGGATAAATTTCTGTGTCGCTGTGTGTAACTTAAGTGTGTGACTTACATCCATATAAACTAAAATTCCCTCGTCACTGTATATATCTACATACACCAGACCTTCGCCCTAAAGCTGTACCATACTTATGGCATGTTATGCTTTATTTGGTCTTTAAAGAATTACACAACTAAGACAAACTTAAAAATCGACAGCACAAAACCTTTTATGACAATCCGATCTTTCTTTACAATACACTCTCTACCGACTTCGTTTCCTGGTAACACACAGTGGGAGAGAATGAACTGTACACAGATAAAGGAATTGCCAAACATTATTTATCAGTATTCTTCTTACTAATCACATATTTTATTTATTTATCAGTGATCCACTTATGCATCGACAAGGAGAGAGGCCATTCCCATCACCTTCTGTGAACCTGAGACTGGGTAAGTCCCTTTACTCATCCTTGTTAACGTCCAAGAGATGTGTACCAATACTTTTCTTGAAAGATAGAGAGAAGGAGAAAGTAAAAAGATGGGCGAGTGGTAAAGGGGGAAAAAGAAACAAGGAAGGTAGAGTCAGGAGTGGGGGAGCAGACCCGAGGGTAAAAGGATCGACAGCATGGGGGACCCGCACCTACACCCTGCTGACGTAGATGAGTGATGATTGGCTTCTCGCTGTGACAGGCGAGTGTGTCTATTGGCTACCCGGGGCGACATGTGGGCGTGTTGACAGGCTACGCATGGTGACATATGGGCGTGGTAATCAACTGCCCATAACTTAGTCACTGCAGACAAGCACTTACAATCCTCACAATTACATAAACAAAACAAACCTCTAATTCTCTGGGGTTGTTGACGTTACAGAACGAGAAGAAACAAACCTGAATATATAGGGCGAAGGTGTCCAGGAAGAGATGCAGAAGTAAGAGAAAATGTAAAACGACTGCAGAAAAGCTGTAGGTGTTAGAGAATAAAAAAAGGAGGAATTGCACATGTTGAAGAAAATAAGAATGAAGGACAGGAGGGAGACGTGGGTGCGAGGGCAGGCGGAAAAACCCATCAGAAGGGCACATGACACACCATCCACCCACAGACACCATCTGCACCGAATAGTGTGAACTTCCTCTGTAAATTGATGAATGAGTGGACTTAAAAAACTTACAAATGAAGACAGACATTACTTAATTATAAAGATCGTCTGTTTATGAGTAACTTTGGTAAGCCAGACAGACAGATATTGCTTTTTTTATGGATATTATTTGCTTATGAACAACTAAGGCTTACAGGACTAGACAGACAGACAGACATTACTTGATTACAGAGCTCATTAGCTTATGGACAATTCTGACTTACAGGAACAGACCGTGACACACAGCATTGTTTATATTCTTCATCAACCTGATGGTTTAATGCACAAAAGTGAAACTAACCATGAAAACTTGGGACCAAAATTCCACTAATGATGTGAATTTATGACTAAATGAGATTAGCTTCCAAAATTTATGATAAATACACTCTCTTTTCCTCTCATTATGACTTGGTTGGGGGAGGAAAAATAAGGAAGGAAGAAGGCAAGTTAATAACAAACACAAAAGGAAAAATGATGATAGTGTAAATAAACAAACAAAAATGCAGACTTTTGCATCGTTAATAAAACAAATGAGAAAATATTAACAAATGTAAAGAGAATGTTAAGAATACTACTAATTGGGAGAACGTTTAGCAGGAAAACAAATTACAAATTTTTGAAGACAATTGTGTTTATAAGGCCGCTGGCAACGTGCTCTAATAAAGACATAAAAAAAAGGGTAACCTAACAACATATATACAGGGTGTACCGAAAAAATATACGTTAGAAATTGTAAAATACAGGATGTCTCACAAAAAAGATTACACACACACACACACACACACACATATATATTGCCTTACAGTTTTTCATGGAGTGTATGAATCTTTTGTATTACAAGAGCAATATTTTCCTCATTTGTGAGAACTCGCACAACAAATGGGGACAATAATCTTGTTCTTGTAATGCCAACATTCACCCTATATCTACGAAAATCTGTAAAGCAGTGTGTATACATTTTTTTCCCGAGACATCCTGTACATTGCAGTTTCAATGAGATGAAATAATTCTTTAAACACCTGAAATATATGTGGATTCTATAAGCACCCTAGCAAGAGTTGCAGGAGAGCCCCAGCCAGAGTTCCAGGTAAGCCATGCACGAGTTGTGTGACAACTCTGGCAAAAGTTCCAGTACCTTAAAAAAAATAAAAATAAAAATCCCTGCTACCAGTAAGAGCTACAATGGTGTAGTACATTCAACACAGAGTACACTCCCCTCCTGTGTATAAGAGAAAGATCAGTAACCATTGAACAACATGGTTGCATCTTTAGAATCCTAGTTCGACACAAACCCTAGAAAGACATCCTTCCTCTCTGTATGTCTGGGGTTAATTCCACTTTTTGATCAGACAAACTCCTTTCAGGGTTCAAGTATAAGCATTAAGCAGGTCTTGGTATCTGAAATACCTTGCTCTTGGCCCAATTGCAGAGACTAGACTGACCACTGTTTATAGCATTTAGGTTATAAGTCATGAGAAAAAAATACATGGTAGTTTTGCATTTAATATTATTCCTATAACGTAATTATGTTAACAAAAGTAGAAGACAAACCAAAATAAAAATATGTAGAGGACCGTGTTCTTCCCCTGACATAACCTTAGAAATAAGACCAAGATCATTCAATTATACAAGACAACAAAGAAAAGGCATTTGGCAAAAAAGTATAGTATTTGTTTTGTAGAGAGCAGTGTTCCCACTCAAGAGAACAACCTTGTTTTTGTTCCACTAACAGAAGCAGTGATAGAGGCGCCACACACCACAACCCTTCACACGGACTACAGCCGGGTGGACCATTAGCGTGAGTGTCCAGTATA